CAAGCAGAGAAAACCAACGTTTACACTATGCCGACGTTTAGAGATAGCTGTACACGGCACTTCCGATCAATGTTGCTTTCTTTGGTACAACAAACTGCTCACAATGAGACGTAAACGACTGGGAAGAACTTGGAATCGTTTGTCATGCATCCAAGACGGTTTTTCCTCGTGTTATCACCGTTACCACCTCAGAAACTTGTTACTAATCTTATTACAATTGCAAGCGAGCAGCTATCTACGTCTCATTTCAACTGCTGGTGATTTGAATGGAGTTCTCGAGGGTTTCGAGGGAACAATGCATAAGATGGTTTTGAAGCTGTCATAGTCAATGAGCACGTATTTCCAGTCTTTTCCAAGGTGTCCTTTCAATAGAAAAAACCAATAGCAGCGGAAAACTCTTTGCCAAGAAAAAGAGTTATGTGTTCGCTTACAAGAAAGTAAAAGAAAAATGAATAGGTGCATTTTCCTAGTTGATCATGCCCTGAAATTGGCCACCAATTTCTATCCGTGCTCAACTGCAGCGATCAGCGATGCTGAGGCCGACTCATTACCGTTCAGACAAAAAGGTTCCACTTTCACGAGAAGTGCTAGTTTTTATTAATGTCTATTCTTTGTTTCAATTAGATTTCCTTATAAGCAAGGCGAGATGTTTCTTCTTTCGATGTTTCTTTTTGGTTTGAGATCGAGACAGCGGAGGTGTCTTCTGCGGTACTTTCTAAAAACATTTCAAACAGTTATGGCAAGTACATAGGAAAGCGTTCCAGAGATTTCTAGGGGCTTTGTTCCATCATTTACTTTCCGAGCAAACTTTGCCCATCTTGACCATCTTTCCTTCTGAGAAAATACCGACACTGGCTAATTTTTAGAGCCTGTGATTTATTCTAAAAGATCACCCTCTTTGGACCTCGCTAATCCATACGACAAATAACTCAATCCCGCCCACTTCTTCCTATTTTTGAGGCTATCCCAGAACTTCGTTGAGTTTTCGGCGCTTCACCTCCGCTTACTATGGCTGACGTTTATCTGTTTAGCCCCGCTTACTTGTGGCCTACTTTTGTGCTTTTATTCTCACCAGCGCTGTCGAATCCACGTGGCTTCAAACACGCTCTACCCCGTAGCCTTCCAGTGGACTTCTTGATGAAAATGTAGTTAAGAGGGGGCGGGGCATCCGTTTTCTCCAACACGTTTCGCTAGACCGCAGGCGAGGATGGGTAGCTCACCTGCGGGTCTGTAGTGCGTTACCTTAGCAGAAATAATATTCAAGCACGCTACCGCTTACACTCTTTAAAAGGAATGAATCATCGTTTGAGTGAATTTTCAATTTCCTCATCCCCGCTTTCTGTAAGAAACAATTATCTCACCGCTTCCCTTCCCCCTCTCCTTCGTCTGGGTAAAAATGCTTTCCGGGCATCATAGCAGCCTAAAGAGTGCTACGCTTCTCCCGCAACGCTTGAGCGCCTAGGGTTGATGATGAAGTGTGTCTCCAGTCAACTACGTCCCCACCGAATTTCTTCTTTTTCTGAATTTACAATCCTAGCCTTTGCGAGGTCGCTAAGTAGCACTCCCTGATATTCAATGCTTCAACCGCGGAATGAGATACGTGACGGAATCTCACTTTTTCGGGGTGTAGACTGTGATAGCTTGTGCCAGCGTGCTCCAGTAGTCACACGTACCATCCACCATACAAAACACTCACCTGTAATCGTTTGCTTTCATTCTCATGATCCATCCCAATTAGCATTTCATTTTTCTTGTCATCAATTTTTATATGTTGTCGTGGAGAGCGTTCTGCTTTGTTTCTATTTTTGTCTGGCGTTGATAATATGTGATCCTGAAATTGAAAACCCGATGTATTGGGAGAGCAGACGTGGACAATGAAAAGCTCATTACCGGTTCCATCTGACCATGCCCCTCTTTCAATTTTTCCACATAACGTCGAAGGATTGACTTAACATCTGAAGCCAATGTGACCGATGGTGGTTGCTGTATAGTTACCGTCAAGGCGTTCTGTAAGGGCTTATTAGAATCTCTCTTCAAGACTTACGTAGTCTCTCTACCAAATTGACAGTATTGAACATGATAGTCGTGATGGCTGGTTTTCCCTCAAATTCAGTTTATCCGTTGATATTTTTTCTAATCGCTTTATCGCACCTATCATTGGCTGCTTTCATAGTCCGTCATCCGGCCTGCGAGCGCGCGAGCGAGCGACCGAGGGCGGCGCTTGCTCCTTGTTTACAACTAAATCGTGGTCGATACCGCGGAACGAGTAGTCCCCCGGCAGGCTCGCGCGCTCGCTCTCTCGCTCGCTGGCGTACTATGAAAGCAGCCATTGGTCTCCATACTTCTGTCCCAGGTTCTGTTCGCTTAGAGTGCGTGGTCAGGATCCTTCAAGCGGTTCTGATTCCTACATAGGTTTCTTTTAAATGCAGGACAGCTGGATGCGTGGTAGTCCCAGGACTTCGAATGATCACCCTTCGTGGGCATACCGACCCCATTATCAAGATCTTTGCTCATTCCATTTGGATACGATCTGAATACTCAAAACGTTTGGAAGGTAATAACGAAAACTTCGCAGCAATCCAGATTTTTCCCGGAATGTTCTGAAAGTTTCCTCACTGTCTCCTGATGTTCGACAACTGCTCCTTTACAAATTCATATCCGACCACTGCGCTCTGTTCCTAACGAAACTTATGTGAAATATTCAGTTTTCATGCTCCTTCTGAGCGATCTGTTTGCTCATGGGTTCAAAGCTTCTGAGTAGGAAACAAGTGTTTCGAAGATGCCCCTCGCACGGTGGTAGACCGTCTGCGACATTAGTCAACCACCTGAGGAGACTGGTTTATACAAGCTCTAGGCTTTCGTAGATTTTTGGCAGAACTTCCAAGCGCGTTGATAGAACCGTTCGCCGCTGTCTCACTTCCAACCTACTTACTAGTTGACCCACTCATCCGCAGCACAAATTAAACCTTGTTTTTTTTTNTTTTTTTTTTTTTTTAACGACACATACACTTACAATTAGACAGCAGCCGTCTAGTGAATAGTACATGAGAAAGGCATGCGACATGTCAATTTTTGGCATGCGTCGTCTGATGATTTAGTTGACGACCAACCTCCATGAGTTCTTTGGCAGCTGGATCAATCGGCCTCTCGATGAGCAGGTTCACCACACTGTCTCTCTGAAATAGGAGGGTACCTTTGGAAATAGAGGAATCCCATGAAAGACGTATTATTCGTAACGGTGTCGAGTATTTCGATGCGGAAAAGAAGTGACGATACTATGGTGTTTATACTCCATTTCCGTCCTACCGTGGAGCGGTTTGGCCTCACTCATTGTCAGATGAAAGGACAGTTACCTGAAGCGCATTCACCATAAGTGTTTTGCAGACATCCTTATCTGACACCGGCATCCCATTGACTTGTATAATGTGATCCAGTGATTGTAGTGGTGCGCTCGCTAAAGAAGTGTAAAGTTGAACTGTAGCAATGCGATTGACATGGCAGGTCACAGGTGTGAATAGCGCCTTTCATAGCTGCTGAAACCTCGAAATTTCAACGGCTAACTATTCGCGAAAATCTTGGATGTTGGTCTGAACTAATCATTCAACAGATCTCACCATTCTCTACTTTGCTGACAATGACTTGATTACGGTAGTGTTTCACGAACAGCCCGAAGTTCATGCCTTCAAAGCATTTCAGCGTGACGTGATAGTAAGCAAAGCTGAATGGGCGATGTCAATTTCTGTAGCTTCCACTTTCCCTTGAAAGCACACTTCACGATAGTCTCAGAACAACTAGTTTTTGTAGTGGAAATGATGTTCCATAGTGCAAAGGAGGCGGAGATAACGCGGAAACTGGCGCATTCATTCCGTGATGACTCGTCCGATTTGGACGTATACCTCAGCTCTGGGCTCTAATTAGTCTTCTCTAGGCAGTTTTCGACCCGACAGCGTCCCTTTTGCTATTCTTGGGGGTAACTGTTTCATCAGGAGAAATCTTGAAAACCATTTTAATGGTGAACTGTGTTTCGAACGTTCTCAACGTGAATTCGTATGCATCTTTCGTCTACTTTGTGAAAATACTGATGCAAGATGGTTCATCAAAATCGGGAAATATTCGATGAAAATTTGAAATATAGAACTCTTCTGGTCTAGTTCATTTATAATGTCGGATAATGCTAAAGTTCAATTTAGATATATGGCGTTATGGTCCGCATTATGCGATTCCTAGCTAGTTGTCTCGCCTTGCATATCATACCACTCTAGTTCAGCTTCTGTTATCCAATCAAAATTGCAATCATTTCACCAAATGCGGAGCGAGAAACCGGTCAGAAGATGCCTTAAGAGTGTGTTAGGGAGTTCCGTATGGAACCCTGATCTCATATGCATTGGCAGGGGTATATTATGTCAGAAAAACCAGAAAAATTTAAATCGAATCACACTATAAAACTACTAATCGATTACATTACAACCAGGCGGCTACGCACGCTCTCGCGCGCGCTAGGGGCTCTAACCATGAGAGACGGAGCCGCATGAGCTGATTTTCATTATAAACCTTTATCGGATTCATGAGTTTCCGCTCAAACATCGCCTCCTGTAGGCGGAGTCTGGTTCTGCCACCCACCGTAAGTTTTGCCACCATGGCGCCTGTACTCCTACCAAGTTTGAACTTTCTAGGTCCATGGGGACATGAGTTATGAATTTTGCCCAAACCCCGCCCCTTGTGGGCGGAGTCTGGTTCTACCACCCACCGTAGGTTTTCCCATCACGGTGTCTGTACTCCTACCACGTTTGAACTTTCTCGGTCCATGGGGACGGGAGTTATGAATTTCCGCACAAACCCCGCCCCTTGTGGGCGGAGTCTGGTTCTGCCACCCATCATGAGTTTTGCCTCCATGACGCCTGTACTCCTACCAAATTTGAACTCTCTACGTCCATGGGAACCGGAATTATGGATTTTCGTATATAAATGTAAGAAGGCATGTGAGCTTCGAGGCACGNGGCACGCTCCGCCCATTGTGGGCGGGTCTCCGCTGACGTCATTTATGCTGGAGACACCTCCGACAATGCTCCTCCCAAATCAACTTTTTCCTGCTCTGTTGGCTTTCTCCAAACCGAGTTACAAATGTTTTCATAAAGCGTTGCATTTTCGGGAACGCCCCGCCCATCGGACTTGGGTCTCCCCAGTTGGACCTAGCTTGCCTATGCACACCTCAAGCCACCTTTAAACCCCAATTTTGAGGCCGTCTTGTGGCTGAATTTGAAATCATGGTCCTCGGTAGGGCTCATTTCGGGGCACGCCACGCCCATTGTGGGCGGGGCTCCGCCAAGCTGATATGTGTTTTATATTTCTCGAGACCTGGCCCACCCATCCCACACTTGACCCGGTCTCTCCAGGCAGATCTAAAGGAGCTAAGGAATTTCGTGACAGACATACAGACAGACAGACAGACAGACAGACGGACAGACAGACTAAGCGCTTTATAGTAAGTAGGATGTCTCTTTCTTTGCTCTATATAAAGCTTGTTGGAAGAGTGTTTAAGCGATACTTTCGGAATATGAGTTTATACTTCAGAATGAGCGTAGCTTTTTGTACGTTTTTCTAAACGTCGTGTCGCACTTCCCGCGCGCGCGAAGGATAATATTTGAGTTTGCAGTGGAAAATTGCGATAATTGCGGTGATAGTAGGAATACAGTCCACTCCTCGAAATTAGCTCATCGTTCATGGTAAATTTACATTTTGGCAGAGATTTCACTGTGTAAACTAAACAAGAACTCACCCAGATCTCACAACAAAATTTCGTGGATAATCAGGCTCAACTGGCCTTATAACCTGTTCAGCCCTCATGTTGTCTTCTTCAAAAGGTGATGCTCTAATGCTGTGCTGTGACGGTGATTTGCATATCTGAAGACGAAATCTAATGGTACAAACAAATAAGTGAAGGCTTACATGGGAACCACAGCGATACACACATACATTTCTTAAGGAGTACGGCGACTCGTGCTCGGATTGCTTTCGCTGCTCCACATTCATCTCCGCAGCTCGACTGACAATGAGTAGTTCAGTAGTAACAAATGAACATTACTACATAGCATCCAGCTTATATCAGCTTATCAGATTTTCAGATTCAGTCTGTGATCCACATTCACATTTTCGATTTGTCGAAATCTCGAAGACTCCAATTAATTCATTCCGGCCATTTCCATGAAAAAATGCGATATTTTGTTCTCTATGGCATGGGACCGGCTACCAGCGGATCTTTATCGATTGGAAGTACTTCCGCAGCTTTTCAATTCCGCGGGAACGTTGAATTGGATGCACGTGTCCCAACGACAAGCCCACAAACCGTGCCGCCCATCCGGTGTGGTTTGGGGCTGGACAACTCGTCCGGGTAATCAAGCAACCCACTGCTCATAGAGCTGTTAGAAGCTCGATAGATGACACCACGCTGTAGGAAATACAGCAGGTCCACAATTCGCGTCTAATAGTAGCGGCGTCATCGATCGGGTTTCTATCGGCTGGATGGGTAATGGGTTGCTCGATCCCCTGGGCGAGTTCTCCAGCTCGCAAACCGCTGAGCGACGCGATAGCAGGGATTACGCCAAAGGCTGCTTTCGTAGTCCACGATTTAGCCCGCGACCCATCGCGCGACCGATCAAGCGACTGGTCACGCGATCGGTCGCTGGCCAAATCGTGGACTGTGAAAGCAGCCAAACGACTGCTTCCGTAGTCACGTGGTTGTGGCGCGTCGTAACAAAGCGTTCGGGGTGAGAGCCACTGTTAGATTACGCTAGAGACCGAATTTCATTTCTGAATTTCTATTTCGATGTGAAGGGTCAGGCGAGTCAAACTGAGACAGTCCCCTTCCTTCCCAGTTGCTTACTCCATTATGCGCTTTGTAACAGTATTATGAGTGAATTTACTCTGTTGAGTGAGTCTAGAAGCGATGTATTTTAACATCTGTCTAGCATCACTCCTCCACTGCGAAACCTTGTAAATTTTTAAAGTTTTTGTTAATTTTGTTTCGGATGGAAATATGAAGGAACGAATTCCAGCTGGATATCTGAGTGCAACCTTGATGGAGGTGATTCTCAAGAGCTCTGGCAAGAATTAGGAGGAAGATGAAAGGATAGCTGGTAGTGTCAGTAATTGCACTAATTATATTTCAGGGGTACCAACTTTGCCTTGTTAGTTCGCACCAATTGGTAGCCATTAATATCGATTCGTGAAGTGATTGATCAGATTCTTAACTTAGCTTTATTCTATAGTAGAAAAACCAAAATGACAAGGTATATCGAGAATGTTGGTACTTCAGCGCTATGGTTTCAATCGTTTCCGAATGCACTCTATCTNTTGCATATCTGAATACGAAATCTAATGGTACAAACAAATAAGTGAAGGCTTA